ACCAAACAAGGAAAAAATATACCCCACAATGTGTACGTAAAGAACAAGAACAAAAAGGAAACACTCAAATTATGATTAACATTAGTCCTAAAGAAATAAGAAAATGCATCTTAACTAATATGAGTGCATATACTCAGAGACTTTTTTGTGTTCATTAATTGTGATAGCTGATTTTCCCTTTCTTTTTTATTCTTTGTTATAGGGATAGCTCTCTGGGTAAGAGAGAAGTGATATATTTTTAAATGTAGTTAATGTAGATAGCAAAACAGATTAAAAAAAATTTTTTTTTAAACATTTGTAAAGCACCAAACCACCCCTCAACCCAAAAAAGTTGAATTAATGATTGTGGTAACTTTCCATTCAATGGATTCAAGGAAAGTACTTATGTCAATATACAAACTGACTTCTATAGCCCTATAATCACCTAAAAAAGATTCTCCACTATCTTTTAAAGTGGCTGAACACCCCAGCCAACTTTGTATTACCTCAAATGGGATAAAAGAACAGCTTACTGACATAGATTCAAAGAACTTTTAGATCTGGGAAGTACTTTAGAGATCTATAGCGGAAGAAAATGAGGTTCAGCTTGTCAAGAATAATCTAAAAGCTTTAAAGTGACCAATGCACTCCAGCATTTCATTAGGCATATCCCCTTCTCCCTAACCTGGGTGGCTAGTTGATCCTCACTTGTACTGAAATGGGTTTACTACTCTTTGTATGTAACCAAGTAAAAAAATCCTGGCTGATTCCCATCTCAGAAGCAAAGGTTATTAGACATTTGTCCAGGGATTAAATTTACAGGAGACTAGGGAAATCCACAGCCTGGGACACTTCATTTTCAAGAAGATGTAACCTATGACTAACTTCAGAGCTTCCAGTGAGATGTCAGAGACTCAGTAGACCATTAAAGGACCCTAATCACTTTGCTGAGTAAAATTATCTGTTACAGTATAAAATGTCATTTAATATATGAATTACTGAACATAATTTAAGATAAAATTCTACTGTGGATTTAAAAAAGGAAAAAAAATCTGTATTTTATATAATAAAAATATCTGAATCTTTAACCAAATACTTATTGTTATATTTAGTTACTCAAGAATACTAATAGTAAAATATTTTTTTCATTTCCACTAGTTTTAGTGGTTTCTTTTTCTAAATTAACCTCTTGTCGTCTTATATTTATGAAGTCAATTTTTTGAACCCAAGCTTAAGACTCTATTATAAATACCTATTGCATTTCATCTTACTGGATTTAGTAGTTTGTCAAGATCTTTCTGAATGAGAACTCTAACATGCAGTATATTATCACTTCCAATGTTACTTGACCTACAAATTTGATAAGCAGGTAATCAGTGCCCTTATCTAAATCACTGATAAAAATCTTAAATAGCAGAGTTAAACACAGATCCCTACAGGTCATTCCATTAAAAATCCTCTTCCAAGCCAACATCAAACCATTAAAAATGTTTGGCCAACCAGGTCTGAATCCATCTAATTATATCTTACCTAGTCCACATTCCTTCATGTCTTACCTGGCTCACTGGCCTTTTTCACAAAAATGGTTTGAGACCTTAACAAATGCTTTGGCTAAAATTGAAGTATACTATTTCTACACCATTCCCTTGGTCTACCATTGTAGTAACCCAATCATAAAAGAAAGTTAAGCCATGACCTGCTCTTGATGAAGCTATGCTGATTCTTTCTGACTGCTATTTCTTTTTCTAGATAATCATTAACACAGAAATCAGGACATTTTCCTTTCTCCATTACTGCAGCACCTCTCCCATTCTTCATCAGCAGAGACAGTGGCTCTGAATTCCTATGTGACAATTCTTTCAGCTCCCTAGGTTGTACACAATTCATACGGACCAGATGTGCTTCAACACCTGAACTTCGCCTTGGCTCCCTAATAACTTGAGAATGAATTATCTATTAGCTATTTTTGTTCTGTCCTTTGCAATCTAAAAATCACCCCTATTGGCAGAGAAAACAAAAGTAATGTTAAGAGGTGAGTTACCTTGCATTCTCATCACTCATCCCTATCATAGTCACATCTGCTCTAGGCTGGGGTATTGTCCTATCCTTTTTGTGATCTTCCGGTTTTTCCTATAACAGCTACTAACTCTTTTCTGTTGTCCTTAGCTTTCCTCTCCACACTAAGTTCATTAACAGTATCACCATTCCTGACACTATTTGTACATCTTTATGTGCTTTTGCACTCATACATCATTATGTGTTGTTGCTTCTATATTCTGTATCTATCTTTTTAAAATCTATGCTGGCAAATTCCCAGTGCATCCACATCAATCTCTTTTTAGACAACTGCCCCTTTCCCTATTCACCACAACTGTTTTGCTTTTGCGTCTTTACGATACCCATTCTTCCTAGACTGAATTTTTCTTTAAAATTTTAGGTTAAAGGACACCATTCATTCTCTCTGAAACCTCTATCTTCTCTCTAAAATTCTAGGGTGTTTGTCACAATTTGTGTAGCACTGCTTTCCTTCTCAATCACAAATTCTAAAATGCAAGGTCACTTCCTTCTAAGATCTCTGACACTGCAATCCCAGCAAGATTCCCTGACTAAATCCAGGACTCTTTCCACTTTACCATACCACTTTAATTCACACTTCTGCCAAGTGAAGTCAGCAACAAGAGGTCAGCAGAGACCAGCACCCATTAGAGGCTGCATATAGGAGAGACTATAGTTCTGGTAGAGACTACAAAGCACTCAAGACCAGTGGAATAGGGCAATGACAATGCCCTGGCCACAGGTATTTCATTTCCTATATGTCCCACTATGAAATCAATCAACAAGCATTTATTAAACACCTATGTGCCAGGAGCTCTTTTGGACTTCTAGACCCAGAGAACGCAAAGGAAAGAAAAAAAAAGTCTCTGTATTCAAGAAGCTTACATTCTATTAAGGGGAGAAAACATACAAATATAACCAGAATAATAAAAATTAAATATAAGGTAATTTAGGCAGAGAGGGAATTAGCAGCGGGAGACAGAAGGGAAATAAGGAGAAGTGTCACATAAAGGTGGTACTTAAGCTGAATTGTAAAGGAAGAATTCTACAACTTAGGTGAGCAGGGAGTACATTCCAGGCACGAATAATAGGCTATTAAAAGGTACAGACATGAGAGATTAAATGTCTGAGTAACAGCAAAAGAAAGTCACAGTTCGACTGAACCATGGAGTTTATGAAGGAAAATAACGGATAAGCTTAGAAACATAGGCTGGTTGGTATGAGGTTGTGAAGTGCTTTAAACATCAGTTTTTATTTGATCCTACAAGTATTTTTGAGAGACATAACCAGACCCGTGCTTCAGAAAAATTAGTTTGGCAGCTACATGGAGGATAAGTTCAATAAGGGAGACCACATAAGAAGTTAGTGGAATAGTTCAGGGGAGAGGCACAAGGGCCTAAAATAGGACAGTGGCTATGTGAACTGCGAGAAGGGGACAGATATGAGAAGTTGTGGAAGTAGAAATCAAAAAGACTTAGATGATCAGATTTTAAGGATGAGGAGACAAAAGTCAACTCCTCCAATACACAAGCCTGGGAGGTGGGAAAGACGGTTCAAAAGAGTTTCAAAATAAAGGAAATTTGTTAATAACAAATACTTGTGTTCTGCAGTACACAAATATGTACTGTATGAATCCTCACTTCTCACAGTGTACACAGGTACTTATAAAAGTACATGCCTCAGTTTCATAGGGGTAAAAATATTTTATTGCTACTTTTCTTATGGTGTTATTTCATAAAATGTCTCAACTTTTCTGGGCTTCAGTTGGTCATCAGTGAACTGAAAAGGGGGAGATTGGGATGTGTGAAGGATGAGGTTGGACTAGATGTTCTCTGAGGTCTATTCCAACTCTACAGCTATGATTCTATGAAGTATGAGATAAACCCCAAAATACTTTCCAGCTCTAAATATACAAACTTAAGAATTTTTTATAAATTCCTCTTTTATAAATGTATTTTTAATTTTAAAAGATGTACTTTCAAATTGTCTTATTTTTTCAAAATCATCTATTGTTCTTAATTCCTAAATCAAAGCACTTCATAACTATCATTTCTCATGCATTTAAAGTCTTCAGATTTTAGGGGAAAAAAATTATTTTTTTTTCCTGGCTTTATTCTCCTTTGCAGAAGTTGCAAGAAACTTTAACAACAAAATAAATTAGTCTTCTAAAGTGTGTTGATATTTTGATCTGATTACTAGATTAAAAATCTGTTCGATAATTTACGTATTTCTAAAAAATATATCATGGAGATTTCAGTCAATACATCTAAGCATTACCTAATTAATGATTTATATAAAAATCAAATCTACTTTATCTATAAATCTGACAGTGAAAACTGTCCCAACCTTCCCTTCCTTACCCTCCAAATCACTATTTTCTTTAAAGTCTTCAAATGAGTCAATATATAATTCTTTTCAGTTTTCTCTTTGAAAACTGTCCATTTTCCCTCAAACCTTGATAACACAACACATGGCCTCACACGCTCTCCAAATTGCTGCTGAAATCCATTTCTTGATCACTAGCTCCAAATGAATTTTTATTAAGCTCTCACATTAGCTCAGCTCTTCTCTATGTGCTTTATATATGTGGCCTTCTCTCTTTATCCTAGCCCTTTCCCAATACCAGTTTCTCTACCTGTCATTGTTCATGTATGTGAGGAGGAAAAGCTTCGAAGAATGGAAAATAGCACGAAACTATGTGAAGACACGTAGCAAAACGTGTAAAATTTTCAAATGAATCCTGAACTACATAAAACTCAAAGCCTTTTTTCTGTAACTTCCAGTTCCCATGCCATCTATGGAAATACCAACATTTCCAGTCCATTACGTTCCAGCATGTCTGAATATATGTGGGAAGAATATGCCAGGAAAGCAACTTCAACAACAAGCTATAAAGGAAAAAACGTCAGCTCGGAATTTAAGTACTCACAATGGAGTTGGATTAATTTATACAAAATAAGACTTACGTCCAGCTCAAAAAACAGGTCTCTCTCTTTACTTGCTATCTCATAATCTGCTCGAAGGGCCAAGTCGTGAATTTTTGTACATTCTCCTAAGTCCATTCGCTGCGGAGGGAAAAAAAGGAACACATCAATGCATGAAACTTTACCTGCTATAGAAAGCAACTAAGAAGGGCTGGCACATTTTGCTATTCATTTGATTTATCAAGGTTTTCAAATTCCTAAGCCGACTTTAGAAAATTAAGAAAAAGATTATTGAAAAATTTTGTTTCTCTTACTACTCCAGGCTTTATGAAGTTTTAAAATGTTACATTAACAGCTAACCAGGGCCAGGTTGATATCAGTCCCATGACAGTAAGGGATTATGACAATGAAAACTATAACATAATTAGCTTACCTTTGCCAATTTATTCTGACATCTGTCATGTTGAATTCATCCTGTCATCTGTCAAATGGCTAGTGCATTTGACCCATCTCAAAAAATTCACATGGTAGGAAGTAGTACAATAAAAGGGGAAAGCAATGAGGAACCAAAGGATTCCAGCATTGGAAAAGTGCTCAGAAGATACCCAATTCAACTACAATCCAAGGCATCAATTCCTTTTACAACATCCCTGCCACCTGGTCATCTAATCTCTGCCTGAAGACTTCTAGTGACGGGGAGCTCACTAGAGATTAAAACAGCCCAGTCCATTTTCAGACATGTCTCAATATTACGAAGTTTTCTCTTCTGATTAATCAAACTCTGCCTTACACATTCTGTGAGGCCAAGCTGAACAAGTCTACAAAAGCAGACAAAAAGACTAGTCAGGATGACCAGAGTTTGATCAACTTTCTAAGTTTTCATACAGATAAACAAAGACAATATTCAAAGTCAGTCCTACAGCTTTCTAATTGTAACCATTAATTACTATTGATGGTGATAAATGCACAAGTTATAGAAGCAGAGAGAAGAAAGAAGTAGCCAGGCAAAGGTAGAAGCAAAAATAGTACATGGGGATTGGGGTTATATGAGGTTTTCTGAATCTAAAAGAAATACAAATAGCTATATCTAACTGGGTCTCAGGAGCTCTGGATCTCAGAAATTCTGAGGACTTTGTGAATAATTCCTGACATTTTTATAACACTTTAAAGTGCCTTCCTTACAACCCTATAAAGTAAGTGGTACAGGTGATGCTTACTAGCTGTGCAATCATAGGCAAATCACAAATCCCAGCCAATGTAGAGAATCTGTTTCAAATGACTATGCCTATTTATAAAAGTCTGTTTTTTTTTTAAATTGGGAGGAGTGAGAAAGAGGATGAATAAATGTATTTCAATTGAAAAATAAGTCACAACACCTCCCTAGGCTTCAATTCCCTCATTTGTAAAATGAGGTTGGACTATGGCCTTAATGCCCCTTCTAATTCTAGATCTTTAATCCCCATTTTAAAGATGATTAAACTGAGGCTTTCAGAGACTAACTGACTTGCTTGTCATATAACTAGTATATGTCTGAAACAGGATTTGAACTCAAGTATCTTGCCTCCAAATCCCACTTCTACCATATCACAGACTATGTCAAAAAGTGAGGTTGAACATATTATTCATCTACACAGCAGCCCTTCAGAGAAAAAAACAGAAAAAGTATTCCTCTTTTCCTACCTTGCAGGGTTATTGTGACAACTAAAGACAACATCTATATGATACTTTGCCATTGGGAAACGTTAAGGTTTGTAGTAATACTGGAGGAGAAAGTAGAAGCTAAGTGGCATGTGCAAGCTACTTATGAGGAAGTAGCTACAGCTGTTGTGGTCAAAATTCTCCCCCATAATCCTGATGCTCCCCAAACCTCCTATACTAGCTATCATTTACCCAAGTTCGAACACCCAAGTTCTGGTCTCTGGACTTGTAGGCAACTAGAAAAGACCTGAAGAAACAGGAAAAATGTCAAAAAAGCATCATTCCTACTTACTCTGTCTACACTTCTAGTCCCTGAATTTCAGAGTTCTAACAACTACTGTTTGAATGGGTAACTGGAAAAACTGCCTAATCTCTTCCAATAATTGTAAAATCATGAACTAAAGAACTGAGACCTCAGAGGTCACCCACTTCAATTTACCAAAAGTCACAGACAGGAAGTGATAGAACTGAGATTCAATCCCAGTTAAAGAGGCAATAGGTGAGCGGATGAAGTGCTACACTATCCAGGAAAGTTGGTTTGTCCCATCTCTGACTCTTAAGTAGCTGTTCAGTTACAGATAAGTCACTTAAATCTTTCTAAACTTCAGTTTTCTCTTGTACAGAATGAAGATAATACCAGTAGTACCAACTTTGTAAGGTTATTGTGAGGCAAAAATGAAAGAACGTTATGTAAATTATGAACTTTAAAATCCATATATGTGTGTGTGTGTGTATATGTATAAAAATATATATGTGTGTGTGTATGTATATGTGTGTGTGTGTGTGTGTGTGTCTCTCTCTCTCTCAGTTATTATTAGCTCCAGCACTGTTTACAGAATATCACACAGTCTCCCTCCATGATATCTGCCTCTGGGCACACTACTTTAACTGGAGAGTTTTTCCCCTTTCCTTGTCATTAAACATTGACGCCCATTTAAAAAAGAAAAAAAAACCTTATCTCCTGATGAGGATCTAGCTCCCTCCCCTTGAAAAAAAGGGAACAGTTAAGCAAAACCGATTGACAAAGCAACCGCATCTGACAACATATGCAAGACTGTGCTCTCAATTTCTCATCCCCTTAGTAGCAAGAGGAAGGTTATATTTCTTCCTCTGTTCTCTGGAACCAAGATTATTCACTGCAAGCAGTAGCTTCAGTTTTTTCATCATTAGAAGGTACTTTTGATTTCTGCAGAAATCTTGGGAGTCATATGTATATAGCAGGAGAACAAGAGAGCACAAGTGAGACAGAAGCAAAGACAAAAAGAATAATATTCCAGCCAGCTTGGAAATCAAGCAGGTAAAGCTTCAAGATAATTTTAAATGGGCCTGCTAGGGACTCTCTTTTCTCCCATTCCTGAACAAAAATCTCAGTAATAGCAAGCCCCATTTGGATGCTTCTATGTGCTAATGTCAAAAGGGAGAGAATGAGGTCAATCAATTAATCAAGACAAAATATTTAGGAATTGTGGATATAAACAAATACAAAACAGTCCTTGGCTAAAGAAGCTTACATTCTATCTGCAAAGGCAACACACACACACACACACACACACACACACACTAATTTGAGAGAAAGGCACTAGCGTATTGTGGGGAGGAGAAAGAGGATCAGGAAAGGGTTCTTCTAGAAGGTGCTTGTGCTGTGCTTTGAAGGGAAGAAGGAACCTAAAAAAAAAAAAGGTGAAGAGAGAATATTTCAACCATGGGGGATAGCCAGTAGAAAAGTATGATAAGAGGGGCAATTTGATGGGACCACAGAGGGTATGAAGAGAAGTAATGTATATAAGCTGGAGGGATAGGTCTGAGGCCAGCTTTGTACAGGATTTTAAATGCCAAAGAGAGTTTATATTTGATCCTAAAGGTATTACGGAGCTGCTAGAGTATGAGCAGAGGAAGAGATGGGCTGACCTAAGCATTTAAGAAAATAATTGACAGTCACGTGGGAGGGTGAATTAAAGGAGAACTTTAAACAGGGAGACCAACTAGAAAGGAACAGCAATAGTTAAAGGGCCTACTGTGGTGGCTGTGGGAGAGAAGTGAGAAAGGTGGAGGGAGAATTAGCAAGATTTGGCAACTAATTGGAATGTGGGTAAAGAGTAAGGAGTCAAGGAAGTCAAGTTCAAGGAAAGGAGCAGATCAAAAAGAGGGGTGTGTTTGAGGATAAAGATGAGCTCTGTTTGGGACTCACTTAACCTGAGATGCCTATAAGACATTCACTCAGAAATGTCCCTTAGGCAATGAAGGACTGAAGCAGAGAAGGGAGGCTAGGGCTGGATATATAAGTCTGAGAATCACCTGCACAGAGATGATAATTAGACCCATGGAAACTGACAAGGTCAGAGAGCTCAGGAAAGAGCCTTGAAGTAAACCAATTGTTAGGGGGTACCAGCTGGAAAACAAAGACTGAAAAAGAGTAGTCAGACAAGTAGGAGGAGAAGCAGCATAGTGCAGTGTCATGAAGACACCAAGAGGATAAAGTACCCAGGATGACGGCGTGTCTAAGTGTCAAACAGTAATAGCTAGCATTTACACAGTGCTTTAAGGTATATCATCTCATTTTATTCTTTCAACAACTCGGTGAAGCAGGTGCTATTTTTACCCATTTTACAGATGAGGAAACTGAAGCATACCAAGTTTAAGTGATTTACCCAGGGTAAAACTAGTAAGTGTCTGAGGTTGAATTTGAATTCCTGACTCCAAGGGCCACTGTTCTATTTACTGCACTACCTGGCTGCTGACCTATGGACAGATCAAAAAGGATGCTGATTGAAATGTGGTCATTGGATTTGACAATTATAATAAACTAGAGAGGGTTGAGAAATAAATGAGAGGAAAGTAGACAGGGTAGAGTTTTTTTCTAGGAATCTGAATGTCTAAGAGAAGAAAGACATACAAAAAATAACTTGAGGGGATGGTAGGATCTAGTGAAGATTTTTTAAGGATTGAGGTGAGCTATAAGCAGCATGGAAGGGAAGGAACCAGTAGATAAGGAGAGACTGAAGAATGGCTAAGGATATAACTGTGGGGGCAATTTCCCAGAGGAGATAGGAAAAGATGGAATCAAAGGTACATCATGTAAAGGGGGTGACCCTGATGAGAAGGGCCACTTCAGAGACTAAAGAACAAAGGATGATGTAAAGAATCATTAACTGTACAGAAGGGAAAAACAGAGCTCACTGGAAATGACCTATACTTCTCAGTAATGCATGAGTGAAGGTCCTTAGTTGAGAAGAAGGAAGGATGGGGGGGCAGTATGGAAGATCTGGGGAGAGAAATTTGAAAAGCCACTGTGACTACTCAGCTGTAGTGAGGCACAGTCAAGAACATAAATTTGTAGTGGCCCCAGCATGACTCCCTCCAGCTCTGTTTGGTAGCACGTGAGCAGGAACAGAGGAAGCAGATGGTGAGTTTTCCAGGGTTAGAATTTGGTAAGACATGATTGA